CATCACATAACATATACCTGTCTATCTGGTAGTTTTAGGAGCTACGGAATTTTTGACAAATTAGGGCATTTTAAAAGTCACTCGCCAAAATAAAACCAACTATTTTAAACCATGGGGTACAAGGCCACAAATTTGCTTTAAAAAGCACCAAAAATTTAGCAATTTACCAAAATTAAAATTATTATTAATACGGAACATTTTAAATGTAAAGATTCTTTACATGTACTTACCACTGAATGCCATTGTCCTCTTTATCTCGTTCTCTCTGTCTCCTTCAACGCTAAACGTCACGAGGTTCTCTCCGTATTTTGTCGTCTTGTGCCGAGCTTTAATTAGAATACTCTTGACGGCAAGACCACACCCACTAAAATCAAATTTCCAACTGATGGAGGGAGGAGAAGGAGAATCAACCATTTCAACCATGTTGCTATCTTCAATTGAAGTAATATACGCCTATATATTAACAGTAAATGTTCAGTATATTATTAGTAAATTCTTAGTATATCATTAGTATATTATTAGTACATTTCATTACATCATTTTAGTAACACAATCTGTATCAGGTTATAGTAATAGTACATGTGACTGTGTCAGGTTGTATTACAATTGAACTTTATAATTACTTCATTGTTAAGCTATGAATAACAAAATACCACACACTGACGCACACACAGTGAACTTGTTTATCTACATACACAACCCAACAACCCGTAACTTTAGTTTCATTCCCTGCTCTGTCATATGTATCCTAAATTCCTTTTCTTTCCCTCCTTTCTCTTGGCCTCTCTCTCTCTCTCCATTCAATACAATATCAAAAAGTCCCTGTACATGTACATGTACTAGCTGTGAACTATACAAACCAACCATATGTACATGTACATGTACATGTACATGTACACACCAGTACCGTTCAAACTAACTATCATTATCTAAATGAGTTTAATTAGTTCCCAACAGGTGACACATGCTCCTCCATCCCTCCCTCCACTTACTGTGTCTTTATTGGTCTTTACTAATGTCAGTCTATCCATCTCATTGGATCCATTCTCCAGTCCATTGATCCTACACAGTGCAGGGCAGACAGTGTTGTCCCAATGGAGATAGTAACAGTCAGATATGGTACTGTATCTCATCCTGAACCTAATGGAAACAAATAGAATCTAATGTATCATGTATTTAGTATTATTATATTTATCATTATTATTATCATTATAAATCAAAACCATAAATTTGACATTTGTATAATCTCATTTGCTCACAAAGAGAGAGAGAGAGAGAGAGAGAGAGAGAGAGAGAGAGAGAGAGAGAGAACAAAGAGAAGAGAGAGGAAGACAGTAAAGAGACACAAAGCCTATACTCATATTAACACAATGTCCACACTCACTCACTAAGGCAGGAGATACCAATTACATGTCACTGAATCTAAAAAGGAACTGGCCTACACCAAAAGAGCATGAACAAGAAGCAGTGTATGCACATACTGCTGGCCGAGTATCCTGTTAGTATCCTGACACATGAAACACATGTGACATCAATTATACAACACATTACAACATTATCAGTGACAGTTAGAAGTACAAGTTTATTTTCAATATGTCAAGAGCTGTTGATGGTAAATATTGCACTAATAGCACTACATGTAAATGGCTTTAATAAATAAAATATTATAACATTATTTATTAAATTATTATTAAAAAGAATAGATTTTTATTTAGGAGTACCATGTACAGGTATGCTCTTAATTATTATTACATTTATTACTTATTTATTTATTTATTATTTATTAATCTCCTACACAAAAAGTAGTAGTAGGAGGAGGAGGAGGAGTTCTCCATAGAGATATGCACTCTGCCCTTAAAAATGTAACGTCAGATAGTGTAACATCCCATTACCATTACATCAGATATTCATAAAACAATAGGGACATTAATGCACTATACACATACCTCACATACCATGTCTAATGGACATTAATACAAGTATGCATGAATACTCGGGCAATATCAACATTATCATTATCATTGGAGGCTTTATAGTGGCCGTGATATTGGTGGAAGGACAGTTGGCTGGTCCAATAGATAACAAGTTCAAGTGAACCTCCGATTGCCAAATTGATCCTATCCACCTGTACTGTACATGTACTTCACTCTCTTAAAAGGTATCCTTTTCATGATACCATTGAGTCTTCACATTAACAAACCGACTTGTTAATGAGCTACCGAGACACTACAAAATGTTCTAGCAGTAACAGCTACATGTACATGTACATGTATGTACAATTACTGAACTCTATTTATCACAATTAATTTACAAAGACCAATCTAGCTAAAAATAGGATATTTCAGGGGATCAAAAAACAAAATAAAAGAGACTCAAAGTCTCCTCAATTCCCTGTACATATCAAACAGTAATTAGAATAATTATTATTAGCAACATGTTTCCTGCTAGTAGTGGACTATAGTCATCACAATAGGATCATCATGTTACACTGACAGGTGTACACTAGCAGCTGTATGTGTGTGTGTGTGCGTGTGTGTGTGTGTGTGTACAGTACTGTATTTTGTAGTAAATTGATACATCAAAGGGACTAAGAGGTCAACTAATACGTACACAATTATTAATAACAAAATAACAGGAATAGCACTATCACATGAAAGCAAGGAACTGCATGTACACGGTATTTCTATCTATTTGGAGCATAAAAATAACAATACTGCATTTTATAAGATAATAAGTATTGTAAGAGGGTTATTCATTAATAATTAATAATTATTATTATTGCATTAATTAGCAGTATATGTACATGCAACATGTCAATTTTTATTAATATTTGTACCTCTTTAAAGAGATGTCTTGCAGTGAAGGTTTGAATACGTGGCCACTTGATGAACCAGCTCGATATTCAGATGACATTCTACCGCTCATCTGTGACAAGAAAGGATAGAGAGAGAGAGAAAATTAATTTTATGTACTAGAAATATACAATAATATGGTCAGCTTACTGTTTCTATTAGCTGTTTAGGTTCCTTGAAAAAGTAAATGATTTTTGGTAAACTTCTTATTGACTTCCATGGAGCAAAAAGCAGTTTTATAGAAATTTCTTAAAGGCCCCACCTTTTATTAAAATTATAACACCCACGTAAAAACTAGTTATAAAAATATCTAAGCCACACTTTTTTATAACTGATTTTTAATAACTTTAGACCAGCCTTTATTAATAACTAGCACCGCCTTCTTTAATAAAATTTGGGCAACATGGTCGTTGAGTGGATTTTGGGTGATTTGAAAAAACTTAACAAAAGACAGGTATTGAAAAAGAGATTGTAATGAATACTAACCTCCTTTTTTTGAACAGCTATACTATCAGTTCCTTAGTCTTGGAATGATAGTGTCCTCAGCTCTCATGATATGGAAAGGACTGATGGTTGTCACTGGTAGCGAGAGCCCTATTGTAGTCGTATTGAGGTATATAATAATAGTGGTGGGCTTTAATTAGAATATTGGTCTTCATTGTTGTATTTTATTTTTTATGGGTTTAGGGGAAATAGTGTCATTGGGTGATATGGGGAATTAACAGTTTTAATTTTGGTGGAAATTTTATGTTGGCAATTTTGGAAACATTAATTTTTTGATTGACGTTGGTAATTTAAGTTTAAAAAAACAGGTCAATTTTTGAAAAATACCCAAGGCTATAGCCCATGGTTTTTTTCAAAAATGGCCCCAAAATCACTCCAAATTTTTATTACAGTTCCCGATACGTATTGATGTCCTTATGCTGTGTAGCATTTTTGAGTCGATTCCGATAAGAAATATCCAAGTTATGACCATTTAAAAACAGGCCAATTTTTGAAAAATACCCAAGCAAGTCTGAGTTGATTCCGACAAATATTTTTTGAGTTATGAGCAACCAAAGTACTCTCAAGTTAAAGTGCTATTATAGTAATTTTAGTAGTTGAGAGTTTTTGAGAAAAATAGATAATAAAATAATTTAGTTTGCATTGAAATGTGCTTTTAATTATTGTGTGTGGGCGGTAATTATAAGTTATTATATTTCTATTAATTTTTTAGTGGTAGCATGGAGCCGGCATTTTTTAGAGGTGACCTTCTTTTTTTAACAAATTATGAAGAGGATCCAATAAGGTCTGGGGAGATTGTTGTATTCAAAGTAAAGGACAGAGACATACCAATAGTACACAGGGTACTAACAGTGCATGAGGAGTAAGTGGGGAAGAGAGAGAGAGAAGGAGATACCGTATAGCGCTTTAATTTTGCGGAGCTAAAATTTCGCGGATTGATAAAAATCAATTTTTCACGAAAATAATTTTTGTGGATTCGCAATGTTAGTGCCACACCTTTAATGGCAATTGAAATTTTAGCGGATCTTTAATTTCGTGGTTTCATGCTAACCGCGAAAATAGCGAAAGCTTAGCTCCTCAAAAATAAAGCGCTATACGGTAGAGGTAGGGTATGTCTCAATATAATGTATGTTTTTCTAAAGTGATTGATTGATGACAGCTTTTGGCTATTCTGTTTACTATATGCAAGTATTATTGTTTTACATTTCCTTTTTTGATGTGTGTGTGCTTTGGGTAAACTTGCTGATAGTGATGTTTAAATGTTTTCACACCTTTTCTTCTTATGAAAGTGAAAGATGAACGCTCTACCACGTCTCATTACCCAGTCTACTTGTCTTGTTACAATAATGCATTCACATATATACATGTAGTTAAAGGTTTACTTGTTAATTTTCGTTACAAATTGCATACAAATTTTTGTTGTTCTTTTCCTCTCTCTCTCCCTCTATAGTCATAATGGTGAGGTATATCTCCTAACTAAAGGTGACAATAATCAGGTTGATGACAGAGGATTATATGCTCCTGGACAGCTTTGGGTTAAAAGGGATGAAGTAGTGGGACGTGCTAGAGGGTAAGTATCAAGTAATGTTAATTTATGTTAAATTGTGCTTTAGGTTCCTGCCATACATTGGAATGGTCACAATAATCATGAATGATTACCCAAAACTGAAAGTGAGAACATTTAATCATTTGCTGTTATCTTTATCTCTTCTCTCATGTAGTATCTTCTCTTAGGTGGTTTAGCAGTTTTTGTAATACTGCACAGAGAGCAGTGATCAGTATACATTAACTGATTCCATTGATCATTACAATTATAATCATTATTTTGTTCAATAAATTAGTAATATACTCTAATTGGAATCTTGCCATAAAATACTACAAAAATAACTCATAAAAACGTAGCAAGAACTAATTAAAAATTGACACAGTGAAAGCATTTTTAGTGAACACAGAAAAATAAATTATAAAGAAGTGTATGTGAATTAAGTGAAAACTTATAGTTATTGTACTGTAGGATTGTTAATGCTACCATATGTAGCAGCAGTAGAAATATAATTAGTATCATTATTATTATCATTAGCAGGTTGTTCAATGTTAGGTGGTGGATAATCTTCAATTGCAACTCGAACATGTTGTTCATTATATTCCAGTGGATTCTCCATGCGATCAGCAATCCAATCATCAACCACTAATGGCTGACTCTCTTCTTCTTGTTCTTCTGTATTAGCTGGTACAGTGCGATTGTGTAGCTTGTGATAGTTAATACAGTTAAGTATTGTCTTTATAATCTGGTATATGATGTATATTGGTATTATTATACCAAATAAAAAACTATTAAGTGCAAAAACTATAATACATGGTGCCGCATAATCAATTTGATCAGAATTGCTGTTGCTAACAATGAAAGCAATGTAAAATCCAGTTAGTAAAAATAACAGCATTACTTCAGTGAAATTGTGAATGTTTTTTTTGAAGGGACGAAATACAAAAACCATTATTGCAAGCAAAGATACAATGCAACATTGAACAGATAAGATTACTATTGAGAAAGGGCCAATAGAGTATTCAGGATTCGTGAAGTCAAAAAAATTAATACGACTGATTATGATAATAGCTTTTGCCATCAGGTATAATCCAGCAAAGAATCGATAATCATAAGTATTATTCTCAGTCCCATTCTTATAAGGACCAGTAAACACATCACCCAGTGATATCAGTAGCTGTTTCCTCAAATGTAAATGATCCAATAGCTTATGAAACCATTTGAAATGATACAACTGTATATAAAGTGATGGCAGAAGCATCATTATCAGTAGGACTGAGATAGCAAATGAACCAGCAATAGTATGGACACCATGAAAATAGTGAACATATGAATCATAAAAGAAAACTGTTGTTGCATTAGTGATGTTCTTGTAACGCAATAGTGTAATTGATGTATTAGCTAATTGAGTGAAGCAGAGTATATATATTGATGCTATAGAGTGAGTAAAAGATGGTTCAATGCCAGTCATACTCCAGAAACGAGCCATGCAACGATGAAATGGTCTAGTAATAAATACTACACACTTGTAACCTTTATCATACAATGTTATCCAAACATAGAGTAAGAGGAGGAGGAGCAATGGATAGAATCCTATCACATACCAAAAGGAAATGGCACCCAATGAGGACATGTTATGAATTATACATAGTGGATAGTTACCAAGAAATGGTGTGAAGTCTAAACTGAAGATGTTGCATGGTATTCCAAAAAAGATAACCAATTGGTTGTCAGCTGTTAGCGATGCATAATCAGAATAAGTGAAGAACATTACTTGTGAGCAAAAGACTAACCCATTAATTGATCCATTAGTTAATTGTATATTAAATATTATTATTATTAATACCATTAGTGTCATTGGTATTATTTCCAATCCAATGAATATTAATATGTTCATTAGATAGTCAACACATTGGACACATTTATTAATTTTATTAATAGACACTCCATGACCTGATGGACATATAGCACAGTAAGTCAAAGAATGTGAACTTGAACTGTTGCTATCACAGCATGCTTCACTAGTATAGGAGTCTGGATAGTCATAATAGTAATATAACAGCGGGTAATTTGGAAATGGACAATATTCCTGATTCATACACAATAGCTCACAGTATCCATCAATGTAAGTAAATGGTAGGTGACACATATTTGACAATGTTACATTCACCTTGTTAACAGTGTTGAGTTGCAATGGTCCCAATGTACTAACATTTAATGTTAGTTCAATGGAAACACTAGTAATGTTATCATAACATGAAGGTAACTTGTAAGGACTATAATTTAAATCACAATAATCATTACCATTGCTTATATGGTTACAAGTAATACTCTGTGAAATGGAATCATTTACACATACATATATATCATACACCCAAACAAATGCTGTACCATTACAATCAGTAACAGAAATACTAAACATAAATTTGTCACAGTAACAATCACTGTCTGAGTCATAATATGTTTGACATGATATATTTTCATTAATTGGTGTAACAGTTATATTAGGACAATCATTAAGTGACAGTGCATTATTATCTGGCATAGAAACAGGCTGCAGTGTAGTCATATTACCAATCATACTTACACTATTCCTTACTGGTTGCAGTTCAATGGCTTCTAGTGTATCATTACCAGGAGAATAAAGGTAGACAATAGTAACTGATGAACAGTTGTCTCTTACACCAGTAGCAATAGTTCCTCGTATAGCTAGATCAATAGTAGCACAAGGTGTTTGAACTCCTCCAGTCCAACAAGAGGTATTGTTGATACCATCAGATGAACTGACATAGATCCTACACTCCAAACCAGCAGCAGAATATACTAGAACAAGAGAAATAACGAACAACAATGGAACACTTGTACCAGACATTTTGTATGTTACTTTATAAATGATTACCAGAGTGATCGAATTTATGTAGTAAAAGGTGTAAATTTAATTTCAGTTTCATTATTTTTAATTTATTGAATGATTTGTAATGATATCAAGTTCTTTCACCTCCTTTAAGCATTCAAAACTACATTGATGATCAATAGCTTTGTTGTGAATACTATAATCTTTATAAGATGTCAATAAGACATTGAATAGTTAGTTATGTTTATGTTTAAAATTAAATGTACATGTAACTTATCCAGTGCATTAGGAGTCAGTGCTGTGCTTCCATGATATGGCAGGTTTAAAATTTTTAATTTACGTAAAAACTAGAGGGTGTGGTCACAATTATTAATTAAAAATGGAAGTGGTAAGTGAGTTTGTCTTATTTCTATTTTTATTTTAGCTTCTTTATTTTTAGGGCTACCCTAACACTAGAGGTATTAGTGTTCTAGAGCAACTTAAACTTTGCCTGTCTCACAATATCCAACTACAGGTACTGAATAAATCATGTGATTATCACGTGATCAAAACTCACTCCCATCTCTATTACTGTAGGCACAGTTAGAAGCATTCTTAAAGCAGCTGGATCAGGCTTTAAAAAGAAATGCAGACGAACAGGTATGTCTAGAATTAAAGATTAATTTTTATTATTTTAAAGTATTACGTACATGTATATACATTGTACATGTACCTTTATCAACCTTTTTCAGAGGTTATTACATTTGCATATAAAGTGTTCAAAGAATTTGATCTTGTTTATCAAAGTCTTTTAGATTTCTATTGTTTTATTATTGTTGTTGTTGTTGTTTATTGTTGTTGTTGTTTATAGGCCAAAGCTGAGATATTGAGTAAGAACCAGATACGGTATCCGAAGTGTAGCATCATGAGCTTCATGAAACCAAGAGCAAAGACACCTTACTTTGTGGACATGAACTTAAAAGTTAGTCATATTTATAAATTATTATCACTCTCTCTCTCTCTTTCCCTCTCTCTTCCTCCCCCCCCTCTCTCTCTCTCCCTCCCTCCCTCTCTCTCTCTCTCTCCTGCAGTGTCCTCCTCGTAATAAAGATGCTGAAGAAATGAAAGACAAACTATCAGAGGTATTTATCAATCCAACCATCTGGCTCAAGAATGACGACAAGAAGTTGATAGTCGGAGTGAGGCAGAAGAACCTTGAAAGACTCTCACGACCGATACAACAAAGGTGAAGGGAAAGGAGAAGTATTTAAATTTGTATCTCCAATTTTTTATATTAATAATTTTATGGACTTCCTACAAAATTATTATTATTATTATTATTATTATTATTACTATTATTATTATTATTATTATTTTTACTATTATTCTTATTATTAGGATGTTACTGAGTGATGTAACTATTGATGAACTTAAAGAACTTCAAGCTCAAATCACTGAATTAAAGTACAAGAAAGATAAGAATAATAATAGTACATACATGTACATGTACTGTACATATTAAGAGATTGAGTACACTATCTATTTTTATATATTTTTATATTTTCGTAACCTCTCTCTCTCTCCTCCCCAGGACTAAGAATGCCCATCAGTTGTTAGTCCATTCAGATGATCTGGACTGGAACACAATAGCATACGAACAGTTCAACTCTGAACACTCGGCCTACGACTGCTACCTTCGTTATAAGCACTTCCTTCAGGCGTCGGTCAACCACAAGGAATGGATGCCCAATGAAGTATGGAGGCTGAACGAACTAGCAAAGAAATACGATGGGTATAACTGGGAAGCCATTGCTACTGAACTCAACACTGGAAGAACTGCTGTCCAGTGTTTGAGGTGCTATAAGACCAGCTCTCATCTCCTTAGTAAAAAGTATGTCACCTTTCACTAACTTGAGTTTACAGCGTAGCCTCTCTATATAATGGAGACTTTGGGACAAGAAATTCTTATAGAGATGCCTTATTAATGCATGTATACACTAGGTGCTATCCGTTAAATGGAGGTGTACGCTATAGAGCGTCTGTCTATTAAGAGAGGCTACATGTACATACATGTACTGTAGTACTGATATTAATTTTATGTGTCACT